GAGAGAGAGAGAGAGAGAGAGAGAGAGAGAGAGAGAGAGAGAGAGAGAGAGAGAGAGAGAGAGAGAGAGAGGTCTGCACGATCGGCACTTCTCTCTGTCTCCCTCTCTCCCCTGCTTTCGCAGGAAGATTCATTCCCACATAGAATTTCACATCTCTCTCTCTCTCTCTCTCTCTCTCCCTCTCTCTCTCTCTCTCTCTCGTCCACCCCGACCCCCGTGCCAGCCAACAAAATGAGAGCCTTTTCTTTTCTTACCTTGTTTATGGATTGTTAATTGGTTTCCCTTTTTGTCCCTTTATTTGTTGATTTATGCATGTCATCACAGAAAAGGCTGCGGCCGGCCTAATAGGACCGACCGGCGTTCACTTGCGCACCCCCAACGGCCACCGCACGTTAACGTGAAAGGCCCGCGGTTGATGTATGGCCCAAGTACCAGTGCTTTTTTTTCCTCACAGAACTCAAGAAGATAAGAAAATCAGAGAAAGGCACCTGTCTTCACACCCCTTTAGCCCCCCTCTCACCCATTGAAAGTGAACACAAGAAAAAGAAAAGCGTTGGAACTTGAGCTACTCTGTCTTTGAAGGTACCCCACGCATCACACCCCCGACCAACCACCCAGGATGCCCATCCCGTGCTGGACTGCCGGGGGTAGCTTAGCCATTCCAACACTTCCAGTGCAAACGAAAACAAAATTTTGAAGACAACAATTGGCGGGGGAAAACGCAGTTCTTTTTTCTTTTTTGTTACCCAAACACACTTGCCCCTTCTGTTCTCAGGCAAGCACGTTTGTACAAAGACTGTGAGTGAGAAAAGAGGGTAAACAAGACTCAGCCTAACGCTTGTGGCACTGGACGCCCGAGCAAGGGGGGCCAGCTTCTGTGTACCCCCCCCCCCCTCGGGGCAAGCATGTTTGTAACTGTGGGGGAGAAAAGAGGATAGAACTAGCCGCCCGAGCAAGGGGGGCCCGCTTCTGCGTACTCCCCCCCCTCCCCCCCCAAAAAAAAGCCCCTTTGCCCCTCAACTGGCTAGGAGGCTTGCTAGAACCACCCACACCCACAGTAGTGTAATCCCCAGAGGGCTTGGCCCTGGTGGTGGGGCCGTTCAGGGCAGTTCCTGAGGCCGCATGCCAATCATCAACTGTTTGCATGTCAATGCATTGCCTAGTATTTGCCTGCTGTGCAAGCCTGCAGAAGCCTACCTCACACATACAGCCTACCCTGTACCTATGCAAGCCTTTCACACCCTTCACCATCCCTAAGGCCCAATCCAATCGCCTGTAGCCTTTGTCTAGATTCTATTGCAAGCTTGTTATTGTCCTACTGACAACAAACTCCTTTGTCATTTTAGTGGCCCCTGAGTTTTCCTGTTTCTGTTCCTCCATCCCTCTCATCCCCAACAGCTTCCTGTGTGTTTTGCATTTCAATACAAAATCCCCCTCTAACCAGGTTCTTCCCTTCCCTCCCCCCCCCCCCCCCCCCCCCTGCCCTGCGCTATATAACGTCTTCTACGGTATATACCTACCTACCTATTGTACATCTACCTTTCTCACAATTCTTTCACTTCTGTATTATTTTATTTGCCTGCAAGAATATGACAGAATTTTGTCAGCAAATGGATTTTCTTCTTCTTTTTTTTTTAATGGTACCGGGAGCATTACCTCCCTTTGCTTTGAACTATGTATTATCGGATTATCATAGTATTATGTAAATATTAAATATTCAGCCTATGAGAATGGGATAGACTTTACCCACCCAAAATAATTGGCAGAGGCCAATGCAGTTCTGTTTTTCACACAATCCTTAGCTTTGGCTCTCTCCACCGTTTGACCCAAGGTGTCACACGTTTTTTCTTACAGTACGCTCCATGTATCTCCAATGTGCAGAAACTGCACAATCAGCTCCAGGCAGTCCTCCACCAAGCAGATGTCGTGGCTTTGGCTTTCTCAACGACTCTTGCATTGGCCATACAGACCATTGCAGGCATGAGGGAGTGCTTCGAACGCTGAACTGAGCAGCGCACTCCCCTGATACCATGGAATTGGATTTTCAGTATATCAGATATCTATCACATGAACATGTGAGCACGTAAGTGTGGGCTCTAGTTTCAAAAAGTACGGCACACTTCAACTGCATCTCCAAGGCCAGGCGGAAGAGAAATGCCCCAGGACAAATTTGGGCCATCGCCCAACTATTGTGGCACGGGCGATTGATGGTTGGCATCCGATCCCTTCTGCTGGCTTCCTACTTTCTTCACCCGAATAGCACACTCGGTCATTGCTTCCGCACCTGGACTGAAAGTTGCACCCAATACAGCCGGAACGACTGGGCATTCATTTCAGGTGAAGACAGGAGCACTGCCCTTGAATTTGAATTTCCAGATTCTTTTTTTGAAGTGGCATGGAGGTGGACACTCACAGCCAGATCCAGATTTCTTTCGGAGTGTAGCCAGACCCCATTGACTATGGTATGTCTCTGCAAAGTTAGCATGAACCGGTCCACGTTTACAGCTAGATTCATCCAGTCTGAGCATGAACATATCAATAGTGAATGCCTGCCCTCGAATAAGCTTGGAACTATCCCTGCAACAATGAGCACCATCTTCCCCAGAATACCCCGGCCTTCATCCCGACGCCACTGAAAGACAACTTCATCCATCTACATTTAGGAGGGGGGTGAGCTATAGCGCATGGAAGATGGATGGTGGGCTATGATTTCTGCTCACTGCCAAAGCCTTTATTCTGGCGTTCATGAGACCTGTCACAGAATTTCTCCACCCAAAGACCCTTTTTCATTTTTGACCTTTCTTTTATTTACCCAATAACGTGATAACAGCAAGCACCATCAACCCCTAAGCGTTCGTCAAATTTCAAACACCACCGTCTGCACCCGAATAAGATGCCCACTCATTATCGCCGCATCTGGACTGAAAGTAGTGCCAAATGCAGCTATAATAACCGGGCGTTCTATTCAAGCGGAGACGGTAGGGTTGCCCAGGACACACTAACAATCCATTCCCGCTTTGTAGACTTCAATTTACAGTCAGTGGCATAAGGTGGCAACGCGAAACGGTGCAATCCTACTTTACTGTCCGTAATCGCCATATATCATCACAGCCGTATCTAGTGTGAAAACTGCACAAGATACAGATTTAGTAGCCCCCGTGCCGTGTCCACTGCTAAGCGAAATAAGGTATGCGTTCAGCAGATACGGTATGTATTGATAGAGTGAAATGACAGTAGAGTGTCCGAAAAGGCAGGAAATCCCCGTTCAGTCAAAGAAACTGGAGGCAGAACATCGGGTCCCAATAAAATGGAACACTCTAGGGATGGGGAACCACTAGTCCGGTATCTGAACCCATACAAAACTTCTGCAGCAACAAAATGTTGACAGTCCTAAGCACCATATTTTCCCCCCTCTGAAATGCTGACTGAACTGGTTCTCTATGAATGATTTTAAACTCCTAAAGACAAGCAGGAGCACCACCTTTTTCCCCATCCATGCACTGACCAATAATACCGAGTATCTGCTGCTCCCCACGAATAGACTGGAGCATTTGTTTGGGGGAAAAAAAAAGGATTCCAAGCGTAACACAGATACCGATCGCCATGAAGATAACAAAAAAATAATCCCATCATTGAAATCGATCACTGTATAGGTGACAATATAATGTATAACGGGCACTAGAGATGATGTATAGCACTGAGCAGCCAATTTGCTCTAACGTCTTACATCCAATACCTTTTAGCACAAGTCGATGTTCAATTAGACTACAAAATGTTCTAGACTCGTGTGCACACAGTCGATTCCACAAACAAAAACCATTTCAAGGGAGTTACCGATTTCACAAGTAGTACAACATCACAAAACACGCATCCAAGTTCGGTCGATGAGCAGAAACACCTACCTTCTCTATACTGTCCCCTGAAAGACAAGTTCGGCAGGTCAGCAAAGAACACCGCCTCACATTCAGTATGACAATCAGGGCAATGGATAGGCTTTATAGTGTTTGCACTTCACAAACACATTTAGACATGTCTTTTCCAGGTTCCCGCAGACCTCACCATCGCAACAAGATAAGGTGCTCTCACAGTGCACAGTCTACTTTTTTGTTCCACCCACAAGCGAAAATTCCTGCTCAAAAGCAGGAGGCTCAGAGCATGACACTGCGAAATCCTACGCTACGCTACACTACTCACTCAAAATTTCTCCTACCTTTTTCATTTACGCCTCTACAACTCCGCGCCTTGTCGACGAGCAACGAAATCCATCCGTCACCCATTAACCGCCTCTACAACATCCGCATCTCTCAAGGAGTGACGGGCTCGTCTTGTGACTCCTCTTTTGTGAGCTTGATCATATCATCAATCCTCAATATCGTGATAGCAGCCTCCGTTGCGAACTGTCATCAACCAAACGAGACGGAAACAGAAAGAGAAGTAAGCATCCAAATCTCAAGGAATTTGTTTTTTTCGCAAGCAATTCATCCGGACAACAGCACACACTAAGATTCCCAATGCAGGCGTACACAACTGCCATACTGCAGCTGTAAGTCCAGTAGAAAGCGCCGATGTCGGCAGATCAATAGGCCAAGCACCCACCCCTGTAGGGGAGAAAAGCACTTCTCACCCCTGTGAGGAGCATTTGCTATGGACTTGTACTTCCGCGAATCTTCTCCTTGTAAAGACGGAAAGGATACACAGACCATGACAAAACAGCCACCGTGCTACACCACGTCCGACATCTACCGACCATGACCAGATTCTTTGGAAACGATAAATTAGACACGCAAGTGTGAGCACTCAAAAGAAAATTTGCTCGCAAAGTGCTCGACAAAACATCGAACATGCAAAGAGAGGAAAAAAAACAAAAAAACAGAAAAAGAAAGGACAGCAGGCAGGCAGGCGAGGAGCGAAAGGATTACAAGAAGATTCCTGGAATAGGCAGGCACCCTCGCCCGAGGCGGCGTGACCATTTGCCCCTTCGATTGGAACAGAATTTCACACTTTGCACCCTTCAGAGGACAATTAAACATGGATGCAGCTTGACGCAAACGTGAACCACAGACTGCCAAGATGAGGTTCAGCAGTTTGCTAACTTGGTCATGGAAGCAGTATGTGTTTCAGGAGGATGGAGCATCCATATGCATCGACAACATTATAGATCTACTCTTATCCATCCTGCCCGCACACACGTTGCAGCATTGGATCGGGTGATCTTCACCCATCATTAATTTTGGGGGGCATGCGAATGAATAGGTCCTTGCTTGCATCGATTCAAACAGGCCTCGGCCCCATTTCACTCACCTGAAGTATCTTGACCTTGCTCATCACAGGTTCCAGCACACCCGCATCAATGTTGCTCCTCACAACACCTTCAATGAGATCAAGACCCATTCTGCAGAAATGACAAACCAAAGCACAAGGGAACAGGACATAAAAAAGAAGCCGGAAACGTCAGTACAAACCTCCGATGCATGCAAACACACACACACACACACACACACACACACACACACACACACACACACACACTCCAATGCATGCAGTGTACGCGCCCTAACCTGCATGCTACTATGCATGGATCCGCCATTGTTCTCTGCAGGCGATGGCTGATCACTGTCGTTGTCTCTGCCAATGGCCACGTTTCTTCTACAATGTCATCCTGTGACAAATGAACAGGACGGTGCTGGAGTTGTGTTGAGAGATTAGACAGCTTCTTAGAAAATAAGCACAATTTCAGACATTCTCACCTGAAAAATATATATAGCTATTGATGAACTGCAAAAAAAGAGAACCAATTAATGGTTTTCCATTCGCAGCTTCCCCCATAGAGTAAACAAACCAGTGTTCAAAGTTCCAACCATTAAAAGGAAAAACAGACGCAAGCACCTCACAACTGGCCATTCCACCAGCTGCCACCCGGCCTCAAAAAGCACCAATGGACTACTTTCAGGTGTGCGATGTGAGACACGACTGGGGGATCTTTCAGGTGTATGATGCGAAACACGACAGTGACGTCTTTCAGGAGTACGATGCGGAACACGACAGTGACATCTCCAGCCAATTACATCCGTCCAACCTCAACCATCAGATTCCTCAAAAGGCCTTTGCAACGGTCCTTGCTACGGCCCATCAGATTACAACCCAGTGAACCCTTGTAGACAGTCCCCTGGGCTGTAGCGAGGGTCCGCTGGGTTGTCCCTTTCACGTGCATGGACGTGTGACAACACTACAGGCCATCAAATAGGAGTGAAGCGTCCCAACCATCCAATATGGAAAATTGGGAGTGAACCTAAATGTAAACAAGTAAAATCTTACGTTATTCAAGGAGTCGATTGATTATTTACTAGGTAAGGTTCTAGACTAACCACATGCACTGATTTATCACCGCAATGAAATAGAGAGTACTATAGGACCAACATGCTCAACAGATCAAAGATGCAGCATCACTGGTGCCTGTTCGGCCTGCACTACTGCGAGGGACAACCCTGCTGAATACATCTCAGACTAACATCCTCATGCTAACTCAACTCAACCATAGCACTACCGTCTTCACCCGAATAGAACGCCCGGTAATTATGGCCGTATCTGGACTGAAAAATGCATCAAATACGGCTATAATGACCGGGCTTTTTATTCGGGTGAAGACGGTAGTTGATACACATTCCTGTCATGTTCCCTAATAGAATAGGAGTATATGCTCTTAAACCACCAGTACTTGGGCGACGCCTTAGCGTTAACGCTACGCGATTTCCGCGGCCGGCGGGCCGTAAATAAATAGAATCGACAGCCCGCGCTGCTTGCTTCGAGATTTGGGCGGCCGGCGCGGCGCGCAGTGCCCAAGTACTGGTGGTTTAATTTACCAGTAAGCTAGGCTACCAGACGGGCGGCCCAGCCGAGCAAGGACTTTGGGCGGGGGGGGGGAAGGGGAGGACGGGGAAACTACGCAGGAGTCACAAAAACGAGTTATTATTGCACTATGGGCCAAGATACAGTTTCGAATTGCAGTTCGGGAAATGTATACAACCCAGCTTTCTGGCCAGGTAGGGTGCCCCAAGTGCGATTGCAAACTGTATCTTGCCCCATATACTCCAATTATAACTCGTTTTTGTGACTCTATTGAAGTTACCCCCCCCCAAAAAAAAATCAAAAAAATCATGTTACGCAACTTACGCAGGAAAAAAAAGTGAACAACTTTTGCCTCAGGGTCACATTGAAATTATTTACCAATTTTAAAATAAAATTTTTAATTAAAAAATAATACAATTCTGGTCCGGCCGGGCAAGTGGTCCCGGGCCACTCTGGTAGCCTAGCCAGTAAGCAAAAAAGAAAGATGTCAACAGTAACAAAGTCTGGTTCCCTTTAAATGCAGAAAGAGAGAGGCCTCGGGCAATCAACATAGCCGGGGAAAATTCACATTCGCTTCTGTTCAGTGGTACAGAGTACTACAGACTGATTGATGACAATCTGTATTAGAGCAAAAAACGATATCCATACCCAGAGAAGTGTTGCTTGTCTGGCTTTGTCTGTGCTGTATGATGGTATGCTCGGAGTTTCGCAACCAGTTCCGTGGCATCCTTGGCAGCATTCACAGCCAACACCTGCAGGCAAGACAAGCAGCACCAGTTGCCCAACCAAAGACACGATAAACCAAACAAGTTCCATTACTTATAACCTTTGTTAAAGAAAGAAAGATAGTAGCTCCCAACCCAAACATATTTATAACTTTATCGTCCTGTGATTCCATCAGAGGATTAAACAATCATCTGTGCATTCGCAGTGGCAAGGGTACCATTCACCCACATGGGCTGGCCCACATACTTAACTAATCATAATAATTTACCCAGCTCCTCTTCTTCTGAGGAAACCATGCAGCAATTGATATATCTGGACTTCCATGTAAAAATGAACTCAGCAGTCAGTAGCGGGTAGAGATCTTCCACTCACCTTTGGAATGACGAGGAGGGACTCTGCAAACTCTGCTATTGCCAACTGCTCCCTCGACCCCAACGTCGTTGCAAAATTCTCCAGGTAGACAGACAGTGCAGCCTCCACAGCTCCACCACCAGCAACTACCTGTACCCAACCAGTGCGCATCGATCGGATAATCAGAATCGGACTTCCACCCACCTGCACTCCAACACAGCTTCTCCAGCAACGGTTGATCTTATCACAGGCGATTATCATCATACTCTGATGCCTGGAAAAAGAGCCTCCATGGCAAGCAAAGCAAAACTTCCCATATACTATTTCCCATCACCCCACATCAAGATCATGCCGGATTAAAAGGCACAAACCCGCAAGCGACAAAGAGTGAGGAAGGATTGGCAGTTCTCTCACAGAGCACCTGCTCACACTTGTACTCCAGGAACAAAACCTAACCTCCCAGATGAGCTGCAGCTCTCTGAATAGCGCACAGTTCCAATGTAACTCCCACCCTCCGTTCTTGCATCATAGCAGATTTCAGCCTGACCTTAATCACCCAGTGTTGTGTGCATTTCTGAAGAGACCCAAGCAGTCGGGTCGTTAACCTTTTCCCAGTTCTTACGTACAGACATGATAAACACTCTGAAAGGAAACCAACAACACGTAGGAGACGTACCAGGTTCGATTCCAAGGTGTCTCTGACAATACAAAGTGCATCATGAATTGAGCGCTCCATCTCATCCAGCATATAGTCATTTGCACCCCGGAGAAGGATGGACACCTGCATCAATAGACACAAGACCCGTCAAAGACAAACCAGCATGAGAGCTGGGATATGGCGAAAAAGATGAAAATAGCTATACTCGACGCACCCTCACAATGAATGGAACATGCACCAATAAGGGGAAAACACAAACCACCATGAGAACCGGATTACAACGCAACCAACAGAAGGAGCTGCCATAATAGACCTCATCATCACTGTCCTCTTCTTTCTCTTCCCCAGTCCTTTCCCACCTCTGCCCCCTGGATTGTCCTCCTCGATTCTCTCTTTGCCCCTCCTCCACCTTCCTCGCACAAAAACTCACCACTGAAGAACCCCATCACCACTCTACATTTTCTCTCCCTCCTCTTGTTCCTTGCATATTCCTCGTTGTCCACTTCTTTCTCTCATCCATTCCTTTCCCATCTCTACCCCTTTGACTTGTCCTCCTCAATTCCCTCTTTGGCCCCCCTCCTCCTTCCTCGCACAAAAACTCACCACTGCAGAAACCCATCACTACTCTATATTTTCTCTCTCCCTCCTCTTCTTCCTTGCATTCCTCTCTTTGTCATGGTTCTCTTGTTTTCATCTTCATCCTCTTCCCCCTGAACTAACTCCTCCCCTGTTTTCTCCCTCCTGTCCCACTTCTTTTTTCTTTCTTCTTCTTCTTCTTCTTCTGATTTTGATTCTGATCCTGCTGCTGCTGCTTCTCTTGTAGTTCTTCTGCTTCGCTTTGTCCTCGAAATGAGGATCGGAAAACATATGGTGCCCAGATTGTGGCATTTGTTTTAGGGATACATCGAGAAACACAGTGATTCCACACAGTGAACACTAAGCCATCGGATAACAACAGCACTCAGTCTGTGACCCCTGCACACACAGGATTTATACATGCCAGGCCCCTTGCATCAGCTTTTTTGCAGGGCATCAAGGTTGGTTCTTTGACAGATTTGAGGCAGACTAGATCCAGCACTAACACAAGCAAGTTGTTCGCTGTAGCAGTAGTTTGCGCATCAGCTAGCATTGTGAATTGACTCTCACCGCTTTCGAGCTCTTGCTGCCTTTGATCATGAGAAGGTTATCATCTGCAACCCGCTCTTCCACGCATTCCTCTGCTGAACCAAGCATGCTGGCATCAAATGCTTCTCCACCTTCCATGTCAGCAAAATTGAGTACCTGGTCCACCAACATCATTCAAAGCTCAGAGCCATCCCATGCTGTGACTTACTACACATGGTTTCCCACCAAGCCAGATTCCAATTCTGTTCCTCTCTCTCTCTCTCTCTCTCTCTCTCTCTCACACACACACACACACACACACACATTCTGCGCTTGACAAAAGCACCCTATTTCGACAGTGACACGTAGGCAGGCCAGAAATGAACTCTCTCTCTCTCTCTCACACACACACACACACAAACACACACACACACACACACACACACACACACACACACACACACACACACACACACACACATTCTGCGCTTGACAAAAGCACCCTATTTCGACAGGGACACTTAGGCAGGCCAGAAATGAACTCCAAAGCCACATCATTCGAATGCAAATAAAAAAAGCACTCTGCCAGAAGATTGTACAGAACTGACAAGGAACAGACCTAGACCACCACAGACGAGCCCAATTGAACTTTCGGCACATCACAAGCATCACCCCAGCAGATGGCAAATAGTGGTCAAATTATCGACCAACAAAACAGTGAAAACACATATTCACAGGAAAACAGAGGTCAAGAGACACAGCCAGAGAACTACAAATAGGGTGCTATTTGTGCCCCTCCCCTCCCTCTTTTTCTTACATTCCTCTTATGAGAATGTGACGAGGGTCTCAAAAGCTCTACGGAGATCAGAGTAATTTTCCAGTCACTTCAATGGTAACGAGGGGGTTCCGAAAGCTCTATGGAAACCAGCATAACTATTAATTTTCCTTTGAGAAGCGGGCATCTGACGGACTGAGAAGGCCAGCACGCCAACAGGCAAAATGAAACAGACATTCAAAGGTAATTCTACGAGTCATGCACTCCTTTCTTTTTTTCGCCAAAAAGGAGAACATAAACTTTCACAAAAAAAAGAGGAGAAGGTAACCCTGTGAACGTGATGCAATAGAATATTGAAATACATTCAACTACTCAGATTATTGCCTTGGTATGAAGGACTATAAGGCATAGTTGCAGTGCACCTAGGTGCGCAGATTTGCGCATGCGTTGTGCACCGCGCGCACAGCACCAGAAAAATTAAGGTCCGGAAGAAAAAAACGTTAGGGGTTTCCTAATTTCTTAGGCCGCCCCCACCCGCCAAAAATGTTACTCCCCAAGCGAGTTGGGAAACCAGCCGCGCCCCGGGCGCAAACATTTTCTTTTGGGCAAGGGCTGC